CTATATAGGGTTTCTTTTACCGTATATAATTAATTTATACTAGTTTACTTCTTTATTATAACCGACTAATAGGTACTTTATAGTCCTAGAATCGAGTTTTTTAAGTAGTTCTTTTAGCTTTTTTTTATAGACAATAGAACCCTATATTTTAATATAAGATATATTCGGTTTTATACCGGTATTAGCTTTATAGGGAGTTATAAAGCCTTCTAGTACTATATAGGGCGTTCTATTATAGATATAGGTCGCCGCTAGCGCTACTTCTCCCTAGTAATAGTTAGGTAGAGTAGCTATATATAAAAGGGCTCGTATCTTAAATACTAGAGTTCTATTAAATCGTTTAGCTATACCGTTTTATTCTAGGGTATAGAGTACCGTATAGATACTTAAAATACCTTTAGCATTAAAAAGCTCTTAAAATTCGCCTAATTTATACTCTTTAGCGTTATCCAAGTATAAACGCTTTAATAGAGTATTCCCTTATTTTTCTTATATATTTAGCTAATTATTAAATATAGTAAAGGCTTCGTCTCGGTTCCTAGTAAGGAATATCTCTATATATCGAGTCTTATCGTCGATGAAAAAGATAAAATAGCGCTTTTTATCGTAGGTTTCCGGCGCTATAGGTCTATAGATATCTATATAAACCTTTTTAAGATAGTTTATAGCCCTAGGCATTATTTTATAGCTAATTTTAGCTATAGCCTTAGCTTTTATATATATATTATAATTTTTATATTTTTTAGCGTTTTCGACTAGTTAGTAGCCTTCTATCTTAGTAGATAAAGCCCCTAAGGCTCTATCTCCTAGGTATACTATTCTAGAATACTATAAATCTCTTATATCCCTAGTTATAAGGGTATATTCTTCTTTAATAGTAGTATTAAAGAGGATAATCTTATCCTTATAAGACCTAGTAGTAATATTTATTAATTTTAGGCTTAAATTATATATCTTAGCCTTTATATCGATATTAACTCCTTTTTAGGCTAGTTAACCTAGGCTTAGGAGATCTAAACCGATTTCTAGAATATAAAGGACGTCGTTTAGTTTAATAGTCCTTTTAAATCCTTTAAAGGTAATTTTAACTACTCCCATCTATTTTATAGGTATAGAGCTTACATTTCCCTAATATATAGTCTTTTCGTAGGAGTTTAAGTCTATAAATAGACTTTAAACGCGTAAATATAACTAGTCGCACCGCTATCTAATAACTAAGTATTTAGTCTATTAGATATAGTCGATATCGACGTTAAGGCAATTTCTTCGTCTATAGTCGAATTAAGCGATAGTTAGGTATTTTAAGTAGTTTTATCGTCTTTCGGTGCTTTTTCGGGATACTTTCTCTAGTAATCGTGTATTAAATACTATTTTAGGCTATAAAAGGAGTATTTTTTAACTCTTTTAGCACTATTTTTAGTACTTTTAGGCCTTTATAACTAATTAGGGCTGTTTCGCTAGAAATAGACCTATTTTTAAGTCTTCTAGACTCGTCGACTAGTTAATTAAATAGAAGTATTAAGTCGATTCGATTTTCGTTATCGGCACGTATAGTTTACGATATAATCGCTACTATAGGGTCGTATTCTAGTGTTAAATTATTAAGTAATAATATAGCGAGTATTTTACTTAGTAAAGGGAGTAACTTTACGTATAAGTTATTATATAGTCTTTTAGCCTTATTTAGATAGGCTTCTATATTACCGAAGTTAGCTAATTTTATAGTAAATAGCTCTCGGTATAGTTAAAATTTATTAGAAAAGCCTTTAGGCTAGTATAGCTCTTTTAGCTTTTTCTATAATTCGATTACTATCTATAGGCCTTTAGTTTATATTAAAGGGCCGTCTTCTAGAGATAGTCTTATTAGAGCGTATACTTTAATAGAGTTTTTAAGTTCTATATTAGTATCGCTACTAGTAGCTCTAGTAGATCGTATAGGCTCTTTTATAGTTAATTCTAGACCTTTTTCGATTAAATAGGCTTTTATTCGAATAGTCTATATTTCGATATTAGAGGAGCCTTTTAGTCTAGCGAACTTAAAGGCGTTTAATTCTATTTTCGTTTATAGAACTAGTTCTATAAGGTTTTCGTACTTATAGATAACGAAAGTCGATATCGGTAATAGCTAGAGCGATCCGGGCTTATAACCTATTCGGTAGATAAGGTTTAGGATCTATAGTAGAAGTAGCTAAAGACCGTAGAAAGAAGAAGTAGAATATATAGTCGCTTTCTATCTTATTAAATAACTTAGAATCTATCTAAGTAAAGAAGTATAGGCCTATTTTATATAGGCGTAGGCTCCGTTATAATATCTCGTAAGTACGAGAGTAATTACCGAGTATTTATAAATATAAGTTAACTCCTAGGATACTTAGAAATTAAGTTAAGTAATTTCTAATCCTATAGAATAGAATGGCGTTTTATAGAATCTTCCGTAAGGCTTAAGTATAGCCTTACCTAATAGATACTACGTGATCCTAGCTTATATAAGCCTAATTACGTAACTAAGCGTTAATAGGGTATCGCTTAGTCTTAATAGGAAATATAGTAGCCTATAGGTCTATAGGCTATTAGGGTAAGGAGGTATAGAAATATAAAAGGGATTTTAGTATTATATATATACGCTCCTTTACCTAAATAGTATAATTCGTAGTTAACTTCGTTAGCAATCCTATACCTATATTTTAGGATATAGTCCGACGAATAAGTATTCCCTTTGTTATCTTGGTCAACACTCTAATACCCACTCTATTAAGGAACCCTACCTTGGTTAGAACTACTTGCGGCTCGGATTATAACAAGTAAGTAGTAGCGATAGAGTAAGTAGATATAGCCTCGAAGGCCTAAGGATTATAAGAAAGGATTAATACTATAGAAACTATAGTAGAAGTAGTCCTTAAGAGTATTCCTAAGACTCCCCTAAGGTCTATAGGTCTATCCTTACCTATAAGGACGCCTAAAAGGCCTCGCCCGCGCCGTAAGGCCTTACCTAAGGCCTTATCGAGTACCCTACTACCGACCTTAATAGCGCCGCTAGTACTCACTAGCGGCAAAAGGCGTAGGTAACTAACTATAAAGGTAGTTAAGGCGCGTGACTAAGGGTTTATTTATTGAGTAATAGTTAAATATATACTTATTTATTAATATTAATGTAATTCGATGTAAAACTACAATAAAATTAGGTGCGATTTATAGGCCTTACCATAATATTTAGCCCCTAAAACTTAGCATAATAGCTACTAAGAATATACCCCGAAGCACTCCCGCGTCTACTTGTAAAGACGCTAGTTTAATGGGAAATTTCGCTTCCACGTCGAAATGCTGCATGTCGTCATCGAAAAGCGGCAACATACTTACGATATTTACCCGCACATTTCTATGGTCAGCACCCCGCGGCTCATAGGATAGAGGCTGCGCTCGTTACACCGCGTCACAATCGGAGAAATTTTCGGCCATTGCGAAGGGGAGTTGGTCACCTGGGAGGCTGTAAATTGTGGGCCAATAAGGTGGGGCTAGTCTAGGATTACGAACCACCGACGTAGATTATTCAAAGCGATAGCCTAAGGCTGCCTCAATGTTTGAAGCTGCTTGCGACGGAGAAATTCTCGGGAATGGCAATGGTAGGGTATCTGACCTGACAACGAACCACCTATATAGACCTTTCGAAGCCGTGGCTTGACTCTAGAATGCTCGATCCTCCGTATGACTTATACCATGACGGCCGACCTAGCCATCGCCAATGCAACCGAAACTCCCAACTCGAACAAGCTCAGCCTGGAATTGCGCTTTCAGGAGCAGCTGAGCGAAAATAGCAACGTCCAGAAGACAAGGCAGCCAAGCTGGTGGAAAGATGTAGTGGTTTATCAGGTGTGGCCAGCTTCTTTCAAGGACTCAAATGGGGATGGCTTGGGCGATCTGCGTGGAGTCATCTCCAAGCTAGACTACTTGAAGGAGCTTGGTGTGGACGTTGTCTGGCTATCACCTATATACGATTCTCCACAGGAAGATATGGGCTACGATGTCTCTGATTACAATAACATTTACCCGCCGTACGGGACTATGGATGACATGGAGGAGCTGATTGCCGGCCTACATATCCGTGGAATGAAGATCATCATGGATCTAGTCATTAATCATACCAGCAGTGAGCACTGGTGGTTCAAGGAGAGTTACAAGAGCCGGCAGGGTAAATACGCAGACTTCTACATGTGGAAGGACGCGAAGGTAGGCCAAGATGGCCGACGGGAACCTCCAAGCAACTGGGGAAGTGTTTTTGGAGGAAGTGCTTGGGAGTGGGTCGAGGAGAGACAGCAATGTGAGTCTCCGGTGCAGCGATCTGAACCTGGATATAGATGTTGACGCATGCAGACTATCTACACATCTTCTCAAAGGGCCAGCCAGATCTCAATTGGGAGAGTGCTGAGGCGAGAAAAGAGATTCATGAGAGTGCCATGCGATTCTGGTTCAAGAAGGGTGTCGACGGCTTTCGAGTCGACACTTGCGATATTTACAGTAAAGATCCCGAGCTACGGGACACAGAACCTACCCCACGCACTGCACCATTTGGAGACCCTCAAACCGCTATGGAGAGCGGCCCCAGGATCCATGAATACTGGCGGGCTATCCGAAAGCAAGTGCTCGACGATTTTGGCGACCCACTCATGGTTGGGGAGATGTCGCTGACCAGTTTCGAGGACACTCTTAAGTACATCGGGCGTGAACCAAGAGAGCTGAGCATGATCTTTGACTTTACCTACGCCACACTTGGTAAGCGAACCATTTCCCACATAGGCTCAGCACTAACCCACGCAGGAGGTACTCTACACGACCAACCTCTGCACCATCCGCACCCGTTCAAGCTCTCCGAAGCAAAGGCTGCCATGAAGAGGACGCAAGATTATGTCGCCCATCCGGCAGCATGGTCCTCTGTTTTCAAGGAGAATCATGACTTCCCTCGCAGCGTTTCGCGTTTTGGGACCCAAAATCCCAAATACTGGAAACCGGCTGCAAAATTGTTAGCAATGATGACGGCCACGCTGTCAGGAACCCTCTTCCTCTATCAAGGCGAGGAAATCGGTATGACAAACATCCCAGACGCATGGAGTGTCGAAGACCTGAAGGATATCTCGTCGATAAACTACTGGAATCGGATGAAGGAACAGTATCACGACGACAAGGAGATGATGGCAAATGTTTGGAAAGCTATTGTCAACTACAGTCGAGACAATGGGAGGACTCCGGTCCAATGGTCCAGCGAAAAGAATGCCGGCTGTAGGTACTTTGAAATTTGTTTCTACTGGAGTTTTTCTGACTTGTTGTTCAGTCACTACTGGGAAGCCTTGGATGAGGGTTAACGACAATTACAAGTCCATCAATGTCGAGGATCAACAACAAGATAAAGACAGTGTTCTAGCATTCTGGCAGCAGCTTCTGCAGCAGCGAAAGCTGCACAAGGATATCTTCGTATATGGCAGCTATGAGGTCCGCAACTTTGACAACGAACAGACCTGGACGTTCATGAAGCAGGGTGACAATGGGCGGACAGCATGGATCGTGCTGAACTTCTCTGAAGAGGATGCCGCCATTGATTTGCCCATCAAGCATGGCAAATTGATCTTGTCCAACATGCCCTCGAATGGAGACAGCCTCATAGATCGACTCAAACCATTCGAAGGTAGAATCTACATGGGTTCGCAAACATACATTAGGGAGAAATAGGCTAGGGAGCGATAGATCAGGGAGAGATAGATCGGGGAGAATGAGACAATATTTTGCTCTACGTATGCCTGCTGTCCTTCATCGTTAGCTTTGCTTTCTATCGGCGATGAGCTACTAGTTTAAAGTGAAAAGCTCGACTGTTTCCCTTTAGGGTACGGTGGGATTCGCGGAAGCTAAATACGAAGCTCTGTTCAACTGATTGTTCAAGTCAGGAGTTTCACCTTTGCCTTGAGAATTCATTAATCTAGGAGCTTAGCTTAGCCAACGTCTAATTAGATGTACACTAGAGTCTCTGTGGTTGCCATTCGCGTGATCTTTCTATTGCGAGACTTGCTTTTCTTATATAAGTGTTCACTTATTATAGTCCGGGCTATTAGAAAGACTTAGGCTAAGGTGGGTTCCTTAATAGAGTAGATATTACTATAGTATAGGGCGTAGAATTATCTACTCCTAGTAGTACATTTTCGTGGACGAATCTAGCTATAAGTTAAGAGATAGCGTTAGGCGCACGATATATTCTCCCTAAGGCGTAACGCCTCTTTAGATTTATTAAGACTAAGCGATATCCTATTAACGCCTAGTTACGTAATTAGGCTTATATAAGCTAGGATCACGTAGTATCTATTAGGTAAGGCTATACTTAAGCCTTACGAAAGATTCTATAAAACGCTATTCTATTCTATAGGATTAGAAATTACTTACCTTAATTTCTAAGTATCCTAGGAGTTAACTCGTATTTACGAATACTCAGTAATTACTCTCGTACTTACGAGATATTATAACGGAGCCTATGTCTATATAAAATAGGCTAATACTCCTTTACTTAGATAGATCTTAAGTTATTTAATAAGATAGAAAGCGACTATATATTCTACTCCTTCTTTCTACGATCTTCGGCTACTTCTACTATAGATCCTAAACCTTATCCTCCGGATAGGTTATAAGTCCGGATCGCTCTAGCTATTATCGATATCGACTTTCGTTATCTATAAGTACAAAAACCTTATAGAACTAGTTCTATAAACGAAAATAGAATTAAACGCCTTTAAGTTCGCTAGACTAAAAGGCTCTTCTAATATCGAAATATAGGCTATACGAATAGAAGCCTATTTAATCGAAAAAGGCCTAGGATCGACTATTAAAGAGTCTATACGGTCTACTAGAACTACTAGTTCTACTAGCGATACTAATATAGAGCTCGAAAACTCTATTAAGGTATACGCTTTAATATAACTATCTCTAGAAGACGGTCCCTTAATATAGATAAAAGGCCTATAAATAGTACTAGAATTATAGAAAAAGCTTAAAGAGCTATACTAGCCTAAAGGCTTTTCTAACGAATTCTAGCTATACCGAGAGCTATTTACGATAAAATTAGCTAACTTTAGCCATATAGAAGCCTATTTAAATAAAGCGAAAAGGTTATACGACGACCTATACGTAAAATCGCTTCCTTTACCGAGTAAAATACTAGTAGTATTAATACTTAATAATTTAACGCCTAAATACGACCTAATTATAAGAGTATAAGTAACTTAACCGAAATACTAAGATAATCGATTAATTACTATATAGTCCTTAGAATATCGACTATAAGAACTTAAGGAGTCTAAAAACCTCGTATACGATCCGTATAGCTCCTAAGGTCTTATATACCGTACTCCTTAGTATTTTAGAACTAGTCTTAGTATAGGATAGATACTTCTAGAGTCTATCGTAGTCCTATTCCGTAATAATTACTCTTCTCCTCCGAAGTATACTCGTCCTCGAGTATAGAAGTAGTAGGTAAAAAGTAGCGTCCTAGTATAGCGCTATATATATTCTATATTAATATTAGAGAAAACGTAATACGTTTCCTTAATCTTAAGGTCGCTCCTAATCTTAACTTATTCTACTCTTAGAGATTATCTCGTATTTACTTTAGTTTACTTAATCCTAGCGAAACTTCGCGTACTTCTCGTACCCTAGTATAGTACCTATAGTAAGCTATATCTATAAGGTTAAACTTTTTAATTATTTAATCCTCGCTATCTAATCTTATTTAAGGTCTTAGCGATTAGTCTCTAGGTAAGGAGTATATTAACCTTCCTCTATTCTATCTATCTTTTTCTTTTTTTATATCTCTTATTCCTTAAGACTCCCTCCCCTTAGTAAGTCCTATAGTTAGCCCTCTACTTTTTATCTACTAATAATATACTAGCTACTTATCTTCCTATCTCTATCTAGAATTTCTATATAAGTTTTTATTTTTTTCTCTTTTCTAGGATAGTTAAAGTTAACTTAGTATACTAATCGTACTTATCTAGTATACTACCTAGTAGAGCCTTCATTCTATTAATTTAAGGGGATATTAGTAATAAGATTACCGAGTATATTTATATAAGATATATATGTCACGGGTTAAACCCGTAGGATGTCTTGGTAAGAACTAGCGACGTCTAGATTCGACCGTACAGTTGTACAGCCGAACGATGTCACGTGATATCAATGGATGTCTTGGCGAGCGACGCTAAGACTAAACCAGCGATGCCTAGATTCGACCGTACAGTTGTACAGCCGGACGATATCACGTGATACTAATGGTTGCTTAGGATACCGGGCGACCCACCTCAGGAGATTATATCTCCCTGTGGACAGCGGCAGGACTTCTTTCTCTCTTCCCTTTAGCTTAACGTCCTTGTTAGACAGGTCCTATAGTAGTTGAATAAGCTCCTATTGAAACCCTCATAATATAAGATCCTTAGGAAGGAATAACTAAGTATTACTTAATAAGAGTAAGCTTACTCTTCTTATACTAGGTATATACTAATCCTATTTTAGATAGAGAGATTTAATATAAGACTAAGAATAGGAAATATACTTAGTATAGAATCTAGGATTATACTTATAAGGTAGTAAGTTTCCTTTTCCTATACTATTCCTATACTAACCTCCTAGGTATCCTTATATTTAATCTATACTATAAGGGTTCTAGTTAAGTTTACTATAGATTCTATTAAGCCTAGTAGTATTAGCTAGATTATTTCCTCTAGTAAGCTTTTTATCTTCCTAGCTATTCCCTTACTAACCCTATACTAGATCGTTCTATTATAGAAGTAATTAATCGTATAGCCCGCTATATTACTTCTAGCGTTATATCTCGTAATAAATTCGTAAGCTTCTCGATTACTAAACTAGATAAGAAGAATCCTAATTCTATAATATCTCTTCTAATACTTAATACTATTAGAACTTTAGCTAAAGTCTAAGCTTAGACTATAGGTTCTCCTACTACTCCTATACTTTCCTTATACTAATACTTTCTCTAGGCCCGAATTACTCTACCTCCTTAGCCTAAGAGAGATTTATATAATTTAACCGCTAGTAAGCTTAGAGCTAATATAATAATAGAAGATATTAAGATTAAAGCTATCGATAACTAGCCTACTAGACGAGTACGACGATACTTCTATATAGATACTAATAGTAATAAGGGTAAGCGGCTATTACGAGTTAAATCCGTATAAAGCTCTAGAGTACGCCCTAGAGCGATTACTCGTAGTATACCTTTAGGCTATATAACTATATAGCCGAAGCTACGTAACTCCTCTCTATCGATTATCTTCTAGGAAACTATACTAATCTACTATAGAAGAGGATAAGAAGTATTTTCTTTATTCGTATAGTAGATAGATTTTCTCTTTTCTTTTTTCTCCTTAGCTTTAGAATCCTCGTTATATAGTAGTTAGACGAATTATTCTAAATTTCTAGCTAAATCCTTATATTATTTTAAAGCTTCCTATCGTACGTAGCGAAAGAGTATCGTATACGAAATAAATAACGATTAGTAACTAACGAAAATCGCTCTAGCGTAGGCGGTAGAGCTATACTAGCTCTTATAGGCTTAAAACTAAAGAATAATAGTACTCGAGAATTAACTCGACTAATAGAATAGAGTACGAGCTCGTACGCTTAAAGTAACGACTTCTACGATAGCGAGCGCTATATAGAAATTCGATTTTATACGACGAAAGGCTAAGCTCTCCGAGCTAGCTAAATTTAATAGAAAAAGATTAAAGTTTCGGTCGTAGCTTACTTAAGCTCGAGCTAAATTAGCGGTTAATAAGTAAGAGAAAGTCGAAGTCGTATAATTTTAGTATTTCTATAGTAGATTAAGGAGCTACGCTCTTACTTAAATTAGCTCGTAGGTTAATTCCGTATAATTAATTCTCGAAATAAATACGAAAGAACTTATTAGTTAATTAAAGGCGACGTATAGGGACGTTAACGTCGTAGAAAGAGTATTACGAAAGCTTTCTTAACTAAAGTAGGACGAAAAGTTCTTTAGCGTATTTCTCGTCGAGTTTAATTATACGCTACTCGAGGCTAACGAACTAAACTAGGCCGACTCGATAAAGAAGATATTTATATTAAACTACCTTTCGTACGACTTAAAGAGCGCCCTCGTTATAACGCTAATTCTATTAACCTATAGAAAGTACTATATTCTCCTCTATATAGTTAATATAAACCTAGTATAAGAGTTTTAATAGGAGCTTATTTAACTACTATAGGACCTATCTAATAAGGACGTTAAGCTAAAGAAAAGAGAGAAAGAAGTCCTACCGCTATCTATAGAGAAATATAATCTCCTAGAGTAGGTCGCTCGATATCCTAAGTAACTATTAGTATTACGTAATATCGTCCGGCTATATAACTATATAGTCGAATCTAGGTATCGCTAGTTTAGTCTTAGCGTCGCTCGCTAAGATATCTATTAATATTACGTAATATCGTTCGACTATATAACTATACGATTAAATCTAGACGTCGCTAGTTCTTACTAAGACCTCCTACGAGTTTAACTCGTAATACCTAGAGGCTCTTCGATAGAAGAAAGCTAGAAAGAAGACGTCTAGAAGTAATTCGTTCGATACTACTAGTCGTACGAAAGATAAGATAAATTAGACGCTAATCGTATAAGCTATAGCGTCCTCGATAGAACTATAGAAAGCTTTATA